AAGTTCCGTACTACGCGACGCTATTATTTAACTAAAGTTTTCGGTCGCCCCTCCCCCAGGCCAATTTCTTTTTTCGATGGCCTCCCCCGGCTAAAATTTTTTCCATGGCCCTCCCCCCAGGCCAAAAAGTTTTCAATGGCCTCCCCCCCAGTGCACCAGCCCTCCCCCCCGGTAAATATCGTACAGTCCCTTACAGAAACACTTTCAACTAACTGACAACAACAACCCACTTGTTTGAACACTGACATTGCTCATGTCACTTAGGGGTAGCTTACACAATCCTGCCATCATAAATGCCTGTGCATCAGTCTTACATGTAACGTTACATTTGTGTTATTTCAGCCTCCTCTGATCAGTTGAGCATTTTTGATATGATGGACTAATTTCAAGCTAAACTATTAGAGCAAGACTAATCGGAATAGTTTCCCAAGCTATTGTACGCTTTGACTTTATTTGGATCAATTTGAGTGTCATAATCCTTAACTTTTGTAGATTAGATACAGAACCATGCTGGACACTGTACATGGCCACAATACCAGACCTAGAGTGCTACCATCATCTTCCAATATGGAAGAATGCCTACTACATGTACTAAGTAGATACATGTATTTCATACTAGAACTTAGTAGAAGGTAATTACCCTTACTGTGTACAGATAGGTAAATATATCAAAGAATGTTTAGACCTTAGAACAAGTAGCATAAGTTGATTTATCTATAGTCTTGTACGCAGGTTAATTCATAACCACTTGTCTGTCTGTATGTCTTAAGTTATGATAGTTGTTATATGTACTTCTGTTGTGTTCTCATGTACTAGAATGTTCTCCTCCCTCCTCCTGCAGGTAAGTGTAAGTGGATCCGCCTGCCAGTGATCATCTACTCCACCCACACGGCCACCACCCTCATCCCCATCCTCACTCAGATCTTCTTCGCAGACTTCTCTGACTCCCCCGTCCCCGGCCCGGCCACCTTCGAGGAGCGCATGACCCTCGCCACCATCTACATGCCGTATCTGGTCATCCCCCTGCTGATGCTGTTTGTCATGGTGTTCAGCGATGATTACAAACCACATCTGCACATCAAATCCCACTAGATTAGGCCACACTGATTGAATTTCATGGATGACATCCATGCGAGCATTGATTTTTTGCCTGATCTAAAAAAACAATCACCTCTGTCCTGGGTGCCATCCTCTGTAGTAGGGAGAACCCCAGTAACTACGGAGGACGGCACCCAGGCTACCGAGGATCCAAGGAACTCAAGAACTCAGTACATTGCCGACTCATACATGCCGCAAAAGGCCAGCATGTGGCAGCTTGTCATAAAAGTCAATATGTACTACCACAAATTCACAGTACAGTGTACCAGCATTGTTTTCCTATGGTTTAGCAGCATTTTTTTTCTGGACGGATTTTTTTTTTTAGAAGCACTGGTTTGGGGATCTTCAGAGGATGTCATCCATAGAATTAAATCACAGTGGCCTTAACCCTTGTCAAGGTGTGTACATGTATATTTATGTGTACACACCTTGGTAGGATTATTACCTGATGCAAGTTTTTGTGATGTTACTCAAATGTATGGATTAAATATGCCAGGTAACATCCCAACTTTTAAATCAGGGATGGTGATGACATTCCAAGAGTCACGTATTCAGAATTTTCATCAGGTTTTGAGTAAGAAGTAGTGGAGTCATTCCCTGAAGGAAACTGGTGCTGTTCAGTCAATAATTTTTATATGTAATGGCTCATGGGTACCCAGCTACATGCGTGTTTTGAGTGAGTTGTGCTGCTCCAAATCATCTGTACTGCAAATATTGCACCAACTATGCTCCAGTGTTGCAATTCTACTGAATAATTGTATGTAATTATCTGCAATAAGTCTGCAGCAAAATCTATATACAAATGCTCGTGTGTATTTGTCTAGATTTTATTCCTTGCTTGTGATTTTTGAACTGTTGAATTCTATCATGGTGCCTTATTGAGACAAGGCAGCTACTTGTGTTACAGGACTCCTTTTAGTAACAAACTTCATACAAATTATCATTATTGCTGTTATAGATGGTAGCTTAAGTTTGAATCATTAGGATATCAAATCAAAGGTGAAGTAGAAAAAAGCTTAGAAGTTGACTGAGAGTAGAACTCTTAACGTTACATGAGGAAGAATTAAATCGTCTTGCAATCATTATCATTTAATGTGATTTCCCCAAATGAAAATGTGCCTTGATTATAAGCATTCCTACAGCAAAGTATGTTTTATACATATGTAATTGAAGAAAAACATGAATGAATGGTGCTTTACCAGGTACATGTACCTCTGATATAATGACCACTCCCTCCAAGTTTTAAAGTAGAATATCCCAATTGGATATCTTGTCTGTATGTGACCAGTGTAGCCTTACTTTACTGTGTTTGCTGACTGTATTTCAGGAGTTTTAGGCTCTGCGCTTTGACTGCAATCATGGAATTTTTTATTTCACAGAATTGATGTACGTAATTTCGGCAAAAAAAAAATGTTTGTGTGTGAAAGTCATGTGTTGAGTCTTTTTTTGTATGAACTGCATCTATATCAGCCAATGCGCCTGTTGCCATCTTCATGGGTTTAACTTACTATAAGGTTTACTAGTAACATGCTTCAACCACATGCGTTATTTACAGGGCGATTTCATGAGTATACTCTGCCCTGTAGGAATAGGTGGGTGAGGAAAATATAGCAAGACTGTCTGTACTACATATGAGTGTTTTGCATCTAAATAGAAATTATTCACACAACTTTGCAACTGGCGTTGCAGCGGTTGGTTTACTTCAGTTTCACTTTCCAGATACCACAAGAGAGTGGCGTTAATGATCTGGGATTGGCTAACTAATAAAAATAGGAACCAAACAAAAGCAAGGAATACAATAACAAGAGTGATAGTCATAATGCCCTCAATCATCAAAAGACAGCATTGAAGGAAATTCAAAAGTGTTTTTTTTTTAATTTAAGTATACATTCATTTTGTTTTCTTCAGAGATTAAACAAATAAATCACTTGCTGTCACCCCCAGGGTAGAATAGACTTGCCCAGGTGACAGGTGTTTTGTAGACACCCACCTCCGCCAGGTAAAAATGGCGGGAACCGCAGAAAGACGCACTCGCCAGGACCTCTATCTAGAAATCTCGAGAGATCTTACGGACGACGATGTTCGCAACATTCGCACGTACATCGGAGGAGAGAAAGTGTTGCCGGCGGGTTCAATCCAGCACGACACGGCCCACCAGATGTTCAACAAACTACAGCGCAAGGGAGTGTTAAAACAGGGAGAGCTTTCGTTTTTGGTGAAACTAATGAAGAGCATCGACAGAAACGACTATGCCGACGCAGCCGAGGCGATCGCTGAGCAAGAAAGAGAAGGTACTTAGAAAACAAACAACTTGTTTTCTCGCAGCATTCAGATCGAATGGAGTGTTATGATTTCTGTGACCGACCGTTGACACTTAAAAAAAAAAACCAGCAAGGCAACCCGAACCGTGCTTGTTTGATGATTGTTGACCTATTCTAACTATAAAGTCAATTTTTCTATTTGCATACACTTCAAGTCTAAACTCGGAACTCGTGAGTTATCGCTTAAACCAAGGACATTATACATACATGCCCTTGCTTACACAAACCCTAGAAGGTTAAGCACACCAGACCCGGAAGTACTCAAACCATGTAAACAGTACACGAGGGTAGGTGTTTTACCCTTTCATGATCGACAGCATTCCAAGTCTACATGTATTTTGAGATTTCGGTTTGCTATGATGGTCTGTAAGTCTGATGTAAACGTTGTGATGACCTGTTCCACTTTACTTCTAGCTCTTGGGGAGAGGACTAGTACTGTCCAACAAAACGACAACAGTCCCTGTGCGCTTCCAACCAGTGTCACCGGCAAACAACGTGAGTAAATATATTTGGAGTAGGAACCATCTATTGATCGCATCGTATGTCCGACTTGACTGTATTACTATTACCACCATATATAGACCGTAATAGAAACGACGCAAGACTGAAGAGTAAGATATCAGTTGTAGTTCAAACTATCCATGTAAACAACGTTTTTCATGTTTCATCCATACAGGAAGCGCAAAGAGGAAGAATAGCAACGAGAAACCTTACAGTCGCCCAAGCGTTACTCAAACTGCCGGTAAGAAAATTTAGACTTAAATTCACCCCATGGCCACCCGCATCTATATGTATTCTTCCAAGGAGAAATCAACAACAGTTAGTATGTATATTTGTTTGTTTGTTTGTTTGTTTGTTTGTATAGCCTGCATGACGTTTGTTGTACCTTTTTAACTTGAAACCCGTCAATACAAATGATTTTCTCAAAAAGATTTGAAAGAACCCTTTTCAATATCATTAATACATGGTATGTTTTTTTTCTCAGCGGAAGACTTAGAAGATCTGATCACCAGGAACCGCGTCCTGCTGACGAAGAGGCTCCAAGTGTCGGACCTGTTCCCACTTCTCATCCAGAAAGGCCTGCTGCAGATTCACGAGAAGGTACACATGGCAAGATATTGGACATGAAAAACTAAGATACTAAATATATGACTAAAAGTATTGTATAAAAGCATTGCTTTTGAAAGCACTTCGTTTCTTCTTCTTTTTTCTCCCAATGAATTCCCATGGGTGCAATAATAGTAATAAAATTTCAGAGCGAGTAAATCTGGTTATTTTACGTGATTGGTTTGTAAGATTTGGTGTAAGATTCTAAAATGTGCTGTGTTTTTCTGTCCATATTTGTCCACTAATATGAGAAGGAGGACATCAGCAGCAGAACAACCGGTCGGGGACGGGCGGAGACTCTCCTGGACCTTCTCAGTCAGCAGGGGAAATGTACATGCGAAGAGTTCAAAGAGGTCCTAACGTCTGGGAATCACGACCATATTGTTGGCCAACTGAAATGAATAGAACACCGTAAAAAGTACCTTACAAAATAGACAGTGTTTATTATGTTTCGATTTCGTAAGGGTCAAAATTAGCGTTACGTCTATATTATCCAGATTTGTATCTCATATTATATGGTTTCAATTTGATTCAATCTTTTAATTCAAACGTGCATGCTTGTCTTGAAAATTCAACAATGTAGTAAACATATCTTCAAAGATTAGTCACTTTTTAGTGGTTTTCTTGCAACACTGAACAGCTCATGATTCTTCCTAGTTACTTTTTTTTATGCAGTGTCATTATTGTACGTGTTGAATAAAGAAATATGCCAATTTTCCATGTACATGAAGCGAAGACGCGTACGATAACTTGTTTGATAACATGACCACACCACGGTGAAATAACCATACAACACAAATGACACATCAACTTAGATTTCAACATTAATATCTTTCACATTGCAACCGGCCCTGGCCACGCTAAACGCACGTAGCCATCAAAATGGTTATTCCATGTCCTAGATGCTTGCATGTGGTGTTAAATATGTTAACGTTCTAAATTCTAAAAAAAAAAAAGTTTACATCTCAAAGGCGTAGATAGTTTGGGAAATGGGGAAAAGAGAAAAAGTATTGCATATTATACTCTACGCAATATATAGTTGTCACAGACAGGCCACAAGGCAGCAATTTCTTGGGTGTCGTGCAGGTGGTTTCGGTGACGGAAAACTACATGTACATGTAGGTCGCAGATCCTTGGCCGGGTTGGTCCTCTCATGGGCTTATACAAGTCATAAAACAACAAAAATATCGCACGTCTGTGACAGAGCCCAAAGGTTATGATTCAGTAAGACTTTTCGGCAGGCTTTCACTTTCGGCCGAGACCCAGTGGCACTTTTGTCAGGATTCAGATATGGGGAGGTATTTGAACACTCTGGGACCTGGCAACTGTACATAAAAGTTACATGTACATCATACTACTACGTGTGTTAGAAAATGATTGGTTGGCCATGTGACTGCCACGTTGATAAAGGGAATATTTTGAAGCTCGTTCTTTGGGAATGTAACATGACTTTCAACGCTCCGAGAGGCGGTGACCCCTGCAGTTCACTGGACTTTGATCTTTGCATAATACCTTAACGCATTTCCGGGCAAAATGGCGGAGTGTCAAGGTGTTAATGCTACTGCCCGACAAGACCTGTATCTTGAAATCTCACGCAGTCTTAAGGATGATGAAGTACGCAGCATTCGCGCTTACATTGGAGGTTCAAATGTGCTACCTGAGGGAACAATCCAACATGATACAGCTCACGAGATGTTTACCAAGTTACAGCGAGTGGGAGAATCGAAGGCGGGAAACCTTTCTTTTTTGGCGGGGCTGTTGGAAAAGATCGGTAGACAGGACTATGCAAATAAAGCAAATGCGATTGCTGAAGAGGAGAGAAAAGGTTGGTTTGGTGGTTTATAACAATATATATATATATATATGGCTTAGGAATAAGTTAGAATCTTTATTCACTTTGGGAAAGAAAGAGTGCCCAATCAAGGTTAGCAAGACCCGTTGAAAAACCGTTGAGACCAGATGCCAATGAGTGGTAGTAATGTCTGTGTAAATTATTTTATGTGGCCCTTGAGGAGAGGAATACTGCAGAGGAAGAGGAAAACAATCATCCATTGACATATATAGTATGGAAACTTTAGTCATTTGGGGTTTTCCTGGCCTTGTGGAGGTGTGCTAGCTCAGGTTATTTATCTTGAGATATGCCAGACCAAAAATAGCATATGATTTTAGTTTATGATAATGTTTCATCTGCTTCCAAGCCCTTGAATTCGATGAGGGAGAGTGGACGACCGACGAGGATGAGGAGAACAGACCACAATCAGTACCTGTTGGACAAAAAAGGCCAGCGATGAAACGTTGCACACAATTGCAACGTGAGTCACAATACATATTTGAGGTTTCATTGGCATGAATCAGAGATAATTTGTAATCAAACCTCTCATATTCACCATCTAAGTCACACAATATTTAATATAAACGTAGTAATTGCAAGTAGACTTGATGCATTTAATTATGTGGGAAAAGATGTACGCATCACTTGTGTGCCTAGACTTTATGTATTTTTTTTATTTTTTTATTCATCCAGGGTATAACATATCACCGCAAGGGCGTTTTTCAAAGTTGTCATCGCACATTACAAACATGGATAATGTTATAACCGTGAAAACAATCTGATTTGAATAATTTCTGAATGGCATTACTTCAAAGAATCTACAACATCCACTAAGACTATTTATTGCCTTTCTGACAAGGTTTCTTTCTGTCCATGCAGAAATAAAGAGAAGGAAACACAAGATCCATCCGGCCACTAATAAACCTGACAGTAAGAAACATAAACAGATTTCACATGACTACTTCCTCTGTCTTGGACATTGTGTTCCAAAAATTATGATTCAACACCACACCGTCATTATATCTTAGATCATCCTCTTTGTCTTGTAAGTCATATTTAAATCTTTTGAAATAATTTAGAGTATCATTAGATATGTTAGTTTACGTTATCGTAAGATACTTCCTGGAGGAAAATCAACACTCAACTATGTTATTCAGAGGCAGACATGAAATCTACAAAAGTGCATACAACATCATATTAGGAAATTACATGTAAACTGCAACAAGAATTTATGCCAAATAAAATAAACATACTGGCTTGAGCATTTGAAGGATATTGAAATCATGCTTTGCAACTTGCACCTGATATAGAAGAAATGATCATAGCATTTAACACCAGTATACCTATTCTTTGTTTTTACAAAATGAGATCTTCTATGGATATATCAAATATAGACATTTCGTTTATTTCATCCTTAAATCATTATCTTTGTTCGATGTATTTTTGCAGGCATGCTGTTTGGCATAGGGATCGGATGCCCAAGCTTGGACGAAATGGAGATTGACAACAAACCACGTCGTCAATCACTTTTGGATGTCAAAAATTTGGAAGGAAAAAAACAAATTATCAAGGATTACATGCACACATATCAAAAACTTAAAATACTCGACGATTGGGAAGACCGCAGGATCGAAAAGATGAAGAAGATGGAAACAGTAATAACCACTGCTGTCTTCCAGGAAGAGACACAAAAAATTGTAAAACTTGTAAATAAAATGGGTGCAAAAATCATTCGCGCAGAGAAAGGATGTGTGATCTCCTACCTCGAGTTTGATGATGAAAATGGTCTGGAAAAGTTCTGGGACTTTCATGAATCAGGCGGGCTTTCCAAATACTTAACCGATCTTGCTCTCCCGGACGACGAGATGAGGCACCTTGAAGGTGGCAAGACTCTATGTGTACAAACTGTGGCACTGGACGAAGACTACCTGGCCTGGAAACACTACTTCAATGGGACCAGACCACCCAGGAGTCGGAAGAATAAACAAGTCACCGTAGTCGAAGGAGGCTGCATTGTAGGAGTCCAGAGGGTACTTGTAAAAGTAACATCTAGGCCATCTACTGATGAACCAAGTAAGTATATATCTTCTACTTACAGTATATTGAAAATAAGTTCATCATTACTGCTTTTGACTTATGTAATTACATTGTACTTGTGATATACACAGATGTCAAAGCATGTCAATGGAAGCAGTTTACTTGTGATCAGCATTTGAGTATTTGGCCCAAAGACAACAGAAAACATGTTTATATAGTCCTTTAAAATAGCTAGTCACAAAAGTTAACAAACTAGTACATTGTATAACCTATAGAGACACTAACAGTTGATGATAGACTTAATGATAAAAAATCTAAAAACCATGTCCAACTCTCATATATGAGATGTGTGCATCCCAACGTAGATGTACTTAGTCTAGTAATTATTCTTTCAGGAAAACATGAGGGACAACTGCAAGGCAGCAGAGCTGAAGGCATGGATCATCATGCACAACTGGTTGTTGATATGATGCAGCAAATCAGGTATGTGCAAATTAATATATTTACAATGACACTAGGGCAATGGATATAGAAACTGATCGACAAGTATTATCTGTAACTTGAAAGGTCTAAAAATCCAGAATCATAAAAATCAAGTTTATGTGAATACTTTTCTGATGACAACTTTCCCTTTTGTTTGCATTGTTCATGGGTAGAGACACAGAAGTATCTGATGACTACAGACCTATGATATGTGAGTTACAGACATATTAGTGGATATATTACCTGACCACTGTGCTTGTATATTGGACCTAAGATCCTTCTATGCTATATTTACAGCCTGTCTGCAGCTACAGATACCCCACTGTTGGGAGCCACCTCCTCGGAACCCCACGAGGGCAGAAGGCAGAGGAGAAAGAGTGGTGAAAGAAAAAAGCACAGAAGTGGGGAAGGGAAGAAACATTAATCCACTTTTTTCTTTAGATCTTTTAGCAGAGTGGGATGGGTGGGATAGAGGCATGGTGATGCAAGTTATACAAATGATTACTGTTTATTTTTTTCTTTTCACCATAGCAGTTTTGATATTGAAGTACATGTAAATATATACATGTATTTTGGGAACACCCCTATCTTTTATAATCGTGTGGAATAGGCTGTATGTTAGTGGTCTAGTGGTAGGGCGAGTTGCTATAAGCAGATATATACTCGTTTGCACCTTCTACGATATCTTAACAAATAAATAGTAAATGAAAGATATTGTTTGGAAAGATGACTTTGTTCATCTGTTTGGATTGTAGTGTTGTTGATCATACATGTATGTAGCCTGTGTTAATACAAACTCTCAGCCAGGGGTTTATGACTCCCACCCCAAGGGGGCGGCAACCTTTGGGGCTGGTGGGCACGATTTAGTCAGACTAGATCTTATGTATTTGACCAGGGATTTTGCCATTTTTATGACACGATGTTACCAGGTGTTAAGTACTAATACATACACTATACTGTTCCCAATCTGCAAAATATAAAACTTCACGGAGAATCTTCGCCTATGGACACTTGTTCTTACTTTTGAAGTAAATGTTCCAGTCAGTAGTATATAATTTGCAAAATAATGTTTATTCTCCAGTAGAAACATATGGTTCCTTGGGATATCACTTCCCTCTCTTGGCAGACATGATCAAATTAACATCGAAAACATTTATGACAATCACTGACGGACCTAATAAAAGCATACCAAGTTACATTTGATTGAATATAAACCTATGTACTGTCCTTAAGGCATGGTCACATTTGTTGGAGAATTCCAGTGAGACTATGATTGTCTGTGACAACCTTTTTCATCACTACTGAATCTTGTACATTGACATCCATGACTACAAGAATGCTCCTAATTTGCTGTTGTAAACCTATAACATAACGGATACGACAGTGCCTTCAACGACAGAAAAAACTATGAGTGAACACAGATACTTCATAGAGTTTCCACATAAAGTAGGCTCTCTTGTGCAGAGTGACACAGCTGCCAATGTTGAAATTAATGATACAAAATATATGTACACTTTTTATATTTATCCAAGCTTCACCTAAACAATACTGCTTGGGCTGAGCTCTTTTTTTCACACAAATTAGCAAACTATTTACTTTTTCCAGTTGGACTCTGAGCAGCACATAATTAGCAAAATTACTTAAATCTAAAATTTTCTTCCATTAGAACTTACCGATATTCAGATATCCCAACACAAGGAATGGAAGACTAGTATCAAGTAATTGACAAGATCAAGATGTGAGAAGATATGTTGTAGTTTGATGAGGAAAAATATACAGATGATACTGTCAAGACTGGACTGAATATGACATGTTAACATTTTGAAATAGCGCAGCAGAATTTCCACGAGCCTCTGGGTTATTGCTTGATGATTTTCTTCCCTAGTTATACAATTATTTAGGCTAGTCCAATTTGTTGGTTTGCGGACTGAAAAAAAATTCTACTCTGAGGGAGTCTGAGGGGAAGTCTGTACTTTCATTTACGTATTTTTAGGAAGTGAATAGTCCTCCCAGCCCTCTGTTTTCATCTTGTTCTCTTGCTAAATTTTTCTCAACAATATCCGAGAACCGACTGATATATACGATGTGGCCCTAGCAATACGTGTTATCATTATTCTATGCACAGTCTGTGTGGTAGTTGATATCCTCAGTGTCTGCGTACGCCGCGTGCCTCCGATCTCTCGTCTTCCTCGTCGCTGACGCAGCAGCTGCTGGGCAGACTGCGCACCTCGGCCGCGCGGGCCAGAACGTCCTTCTCCGGGTCCATGTCTCGACTCTCGTACAGCAGAATGTTCAACGTCTCCTCGTAAATTCTCGCCTCGGGAAACTCAACCTGCAGGAAAAACAATCATTACAAAAGTGAGAAACAATAATCATAACCACTTTAAAGACCAGCATAAATTGTCACAAAGTCACATTTCATGGCCTTCCTACTAGTTTTTGGTTGAACAGTGGACTATAACTAAGGAACACTTGTTTGGACCATTTGTTTGAATATGTGCACTTTGTTTTGACCATGTACTAAGTAACAGGCCAGGGAATTTTGCATTGGAGCAGCAAATCAACTTGCTACTCAATGATTGGCAATGGATAGTTTGTACGTGAATTACATGCAAAACAGAAGATACTTGTAGCTAAAGTTGAAAGTTCGAAGCTGTCTTCACCTTTGTTTGTTTCTTCTCTGTAGCGTATACGATTGACGTGCAGCAAATCTCCGCAACTTTCCTCCCGTGTCCGTAGAACGTCCAACAACAGATCTCGTTGGTTCCTATTACGTCCTTGATAAACAGCACCCGCCCGTTAAACCGCAGCGATAGCTTGTCAAAAAGCTCAATGTTCTTTAGCATGTTATCGTCTGAAGTGCTGTGAAAACAAAATAAAGTAAAAGGTTGACCAAATGAGAACAGCACATTGGGATTCAAAGAAGTGTAATTTTGACACACCTATACTAAGTACATAACAAGACTATTAGAAATTTCTTATAAACTAGATTTTCCATTCCCTTACAAAGAACAATTCACAGCCAAAATGTTTACATATAAAGTACAATGTATACTGCAATGTCTTAGCTAGCTTTCGTGAAATGTTTTGTTATGAGATCAATACATTCTTTACTTACCTTGTGTAAGAATATTTGTTGTTTCCTCTGTTGTACAATAGTTTGACAACAGGCTGAAAAGAACCAAAAATTCAATTAGAATTCAGCAAAAGTTTGATTGACAACAAGATGCAGTTTGACTTCTCTTCCTCTTCTACACTTACACTTATGTTTATATTTATTTATTTATTTATTTATTCATTGAAAAATGCAACAAGACATTACACTGACTCTCAAGGCAGCAAAGCTGATAGAGAGTCACACCTGCAACTACATCTATAACTATACCTGCATATACACTTACAACTACTCCTACTCACACAGCCACACACAAAGACATCATAAAATGTTTACACCTAGAAATACATCTGTAACTAAGTATATCTACACCTGCATATACATTGTACACCTACAAACACAGCTACTACTGGTACTAGTACAAATACTTTGCCACATAGAGCCACAGACAAGGACAACAGAAAAGAACATACAGTACCTTGTTAGAAGTATTTATGACAGCCTGTTCTTCCCTCCCAGATGTGATGACAGGTACTCTACAGATGGGGTCAGCTTCAATCTGTTTCTTTTTGAGAAGTGTCTGATAGAAAAAAAAGATGCATCTGTAGTTAGTAGTGCAATATTAACTACTAACTTATTATAATTACTAGTGTACTATTAAATACTAAAACTACAATGTACATGCAGCAATTATAAATATTATATACATTGTACATTACATACAAAAAAGGACACCATAAGTGTTTCTGTGACATTTAATCTTTAAGTTTTGTTTCCATTCAAAGAATGTTATGTCTTACATATTACACCTAGAGCTGATATACCTAATAGAGCAAAAACTTATCTTTGGATCTGTTATTGAACTAGCCTGGGTACCATCCTGGTTAGTTTATGTCCACTCCCACAGTCAGTAGCAACTGTGGGAGTGGACATAAACTAACCAGGATCTGAGCCCCAGGAAGCCAAAGAAAATTGCTACACCAGCCCCTACCTGACACTGGTCTACTAGTTCTGCCATACAGTAGTACTTGGCCTCAGCAAGCAGTTCCTGGACTTCCTTACGCCCCTCCGGCAGAGGCGCGTTGCCATCTCGCAGGTAGTTCAGGATTGTGCTGAAATGTTTCCCACTTCTGTCGATCAGGATCCAACCTGGGAAAGAAGGAGATGGACCAATGGTTTAATCTCCAAGCAGATGTTTGGGGGGAAGAGCGTTATGGTTAGAACTGGCCATCTAGAGACTAAGAGAGGGTCCTCGGCCAATTGGTAACTGTCTGGAAAATGGATACTGCCCAGGCAATTTGATACTGTCTTTATATTATAACCACTGAAAGATATGTTTGGAGATTACAAAGGTTAACCATACATAGCCAGGGACGTCAACTCCCTACTACTTTGCCCTTGATAGGGGTAACTATGAGTATGATGATGATCATGAAAAAGACTTCACTACCACTTCTGTTGGCCAATTGCAAATATCATCAGTTAAAGTTAGTCTGTACATATTCTCCACACAATGCTGGACCACTGGGGTTAAGTCTCCACCGTTATAAGTTAAGGCTCCGCCCTGCATAGCTCGGCTGCCAAGACAAGCAGAATGAGTCACTACTATGACCACACCCACAATTCTGAGACTGCACCGGTACCGGTATGACCTACAATCAAAACTTTATTTCAGAGAAGAAGAGAATTCATAGCATGAGGTGCTGTTTTATTAAAGCTTTTTTCTTTCTGTATAAAGTTTGACAAGAGCTACTTGAGTTAGTACATAATTTGTATTTGCACAAATGACATGGTTGAGAATCTTCGTGCTTCCGGTCAGGCATGGTGTAACTTGTGGTAGCTTAAACAAGGTACTCTAACTTCCGGAGGATGTGACTAAGCAGTATCTTCTTACTGTTCTATTTGTGACAAAAATAACAACTTCATAGTCGTAGATCTCTTCAGAAACTTAACAGGAGAATCCCAACTTTTCGAACAAAAAAACGCAAACATACACATAGGAATTTTGACACTGAAGAGTAGTGCTATACACACAGTGCACAACACACCCAAAATAACCAGTGACGTTTAATCATACCATAACCTTAAAGCTGAATATTGTACACCTAGTGTGTGAAATCTAGTAATTCTGGTTTTGTCGTGTTTGAGATAAAAGAAATTTACCTTCAGAATCTGTCAGAACTTCCATCCGACCACTGAACATCGCTCGCAACATGTTGTCCTGCTTGGTTAGTGTCCCCATGGTGGTGTAAAACAAGGCTCCCCCGACGTTTAACTTCACATATTTGCTAGGGCTAACACTCCTGAAGCTAGACGTTCTACTCCCGGACTCGCCAGACATCGCAATTTTGAGAAAAATCTAAAGAAACTGGTGTATAAGACAAGAACGTTGTGACACGACTTCGCCGTCAGTATTTTTGGCTCTTGACAGGAAGTAGGCCCCAAGATAGCAAGGCACGTCTGTGCTAAGGAATTTGATGCCTATCTTTTATGTCACAGAGAGAACACTATCAGCTTCATTAAACCAATGAGTACGTTCCTAGATTATTTTCATATGAAAAAAAAGCTTTTGAAGTACATTTCGTTTTTATATATTAGGCTTTTGACCAAATTTTAGTTATTCTATGGTTCAGAATTTACAGGCAGTAACTAGTGCACAAAAAAGACCGGCACAAATTTTCGACGAATGACGTCAGAGATCTCGCGTTTTGCGAGACTCCGCGAGACACATTCCTGAGGAGAGATCGGAAAATGGCGGACGAAGCTTTAGGAAAAGCAGGACTTCACTTCGACGAGCTCAATAAAATCAGAGTTCTCGATCCTGAGGTGTCTACAACTACAACAGAGCTGAAGGAAGAATGCAAGGATTTTGTGGACAGTGAGTGAGAATTCGCAGGCCCATACCAAAGGCGTTTGCGCGAATGTTTTTGAGTGCGATTTGGTGTGCTTGTTGCTAAGGCACACACGTTGCTTCCAAATAATATTTTGGCAAAGTTGGTTTCACGAATATCCAGTCATTTTAGTAACTCGCAAGCTTGATATGCAGACTGATATGAGACAGAGGTCTTATTGACATTGGTATGTGGATCCCAATAAAGTCAAGTCAAGTCAAGTCAAGTATAAACATTGAACAAAACATTGAACTTGAATATAATTATTTTCTCCTTTAGAAATTGCAGAGTTTCAGAAGATAGTAGGGAGCTTCATAGAGATGGTGGACAAGCTTGCCAAGGAGGTGGAGAAAGAAAAGATGAAGGTAAGGAAATTTTCCTGGTGTCATAATTTGTGCTTACTTAGTAACCTTAATTTCATATTGGCGAGATCATCAAATTAAAGAAATGTAGTTACTGTAGAATCTATAATCATCAATACTATACTATCTCTTACTCATCAATATTTTCTATTGACAACAGGCAATCGGTAACAGGAACCAGCTGAAGTCCATGGCCAAACAGAGGGAAGCTCAGGAGCAGCAGCTACAAGCTCTTATATCAGAGAAGAAAACACAGCTAGAAAGGTAAGCATGGTGTTACCTTTAGAGAGAAGTATTGAGCCTTAAACACTTAAAGTTGTAGATCTTGTCTTCCTTTACTTTTTGTTATTAGTTATGGTTATTACATGTATATTTTTAGGTAAAATAAAGTCATACATTGCATATGTACCAACAATACCTGAAGAGAAAGTTGTTTTTTTTAGTAATCCATTCTGGAAATTCTTCCATCCGTATAATGATAGAATGTACTTGCATATCTTGTTATTTCCTTGAAATGTTGATTTTTTTACATCTCCTAGATATCGTGTTCAATACGAGGCCCTACTAAAGGACGAGGCAGAACAACAGGAGTTTGTGGAGCAATTCATCTTACAGAAGTAGACCAGCAGCACACATGTGTTATACCTGCACATATATCAATACATTTGTATTTGTATTGGGCAATGCCAGTGTCAGTACAGGGCTTTGAAATATAAGTCGACGGACAGCTCAAAACCAAACCTCTGATGATGATGATGGGTCATTTACTAAAGTTTGAATTTTGATATAAGCAAGTGTCATCTTAATTAAAGAAAAAAAATAGCTCCGAAAAATAAGTTTAATGTCTCTTGCTTTTACTTTGTTTGCCCAGAAAAATTAGGAAAGGAGAGAATGAGAACCAAGCTCTTATTATTAGTCTTTAAGTAAACTGGCATTGCCCAACAGAAAAAGGATGTAAAGAATGTCGACAAAATTTTCTTTGTTAATGGTCTGTTTAAAGTCCTACAAAATAGGGTACGGTTTTTTAGTATATTGGATACCAAATAGATTCCTGTGTGAGTACTGTACATATATATTTTGTTGTAAATCAGCAAACAAATCTATTTTAGTGAACCCTGTTCAGATGTATATACTTGACTTTCATGAATAGATGGTTCATTTATATCTGATCTAGTAGCACTGTTTACAACTGGAAAAGATGCACATTCCAATATGCACTGTTGTGAGTGGAGTTCTTTGAATTTAGATGTCATTTTTCAATACTTCTCACAGAACCTGTTGTCATTCCATAGACTGGACATGGTAATTTACCAAGTCAGACCATTGTCACATATCTAATAAAGCATGTATTATACAGATGTAGTTTTCAGTGTCTTTGCATTATGGAAAATGTAATTTTATGTCTTTATGCAACATTCTTCAGCAACAGCTTGAGGTAAAGCTTGTGTTAACAGCATTTTAATCTTAATGTTGTGTTGAGAAAAATACCAGTATACTTAATAAAGAATTCATGGAATTGTTCTAGAGTATTATAGCACAGTACTTCAAACTCCTACTGAAACAGCAAGGGTGACATGCTGCAATAAGTGCCATTGGGGGTCTGCCTGCAGTACATTAGCATCCTGCAAGGGGCGACCTGGCGCCCTTATAGCCACTTCATGCTTCAGCCCATGTGACAATGAGCCTATATAAAGATCTATATCTGAAGCCTTGAAGTAACCCCCATCTTTTGTAAGAACAATGGAATGTCATCTGCCACTTTTTGCTATGCACCAGATGATAAGGTAAACATCAAAGTAGGAACGGATCATTTGTCAAGTAGGTAATATAATGGGGACTGTTTGTTAAGGCTTAAGTTGACCAATTTAAGCCCTAAATGCATAAAAGTAATGATATATTTATGGCATAATTGTTCCTTTTGCGATTGTTCTCTACATGTACAACAAATGGCAATTTGGACAAGTTCATGAAAAAAACAACTCTGGAATGCTCATCTGTTTTCTCAACATATCATCTTAAAGCTTAGCCTGGGTACAATCCTGCTTAGTTTACGTCCGCTCCCACAGTCGTTTGTCCAACTTTACTATCCGCGTTTCCTATGGAAAACCAATAGTATGAAAAGCGACGTCTTGTCACTCTTTCTGTTCAGTTCGCTGTTTCCAGGGCTGGTTTAATGGTGCTTTTGTCAGTCCATGAAGTGGCTATCACTGCCGCATAACTGAGATAGTGTCCAGGTTACGGAGTGGGTGGTTCACGATTTAGGACGGTAATCGTTCCGGAGTTAAGAGGGACCCGTCAAAAGCGGTACCTTTAGATCGAGGAGTTAAAACTTTTACATGAAACAGCGCTCGTAATGTTTTATGTATGATACATACATATGAAGTTATGAGATGATCAGCACTTGATAAAGGATATTATACGTAGACTACACCAGAAAGGAAGAAAGAATATCACTTGATATGTTTTATCTCAGCATCTAAATTAATGCATGACGACTTTTTTCCGTCCCAAAATGTGGGGTTTGAACCTTCTAGCCGATTGCAACACTTACATTACATGGTAAACTTTGCTCATTCTATTAGCTATCAATAAGATACGTTCAACCCGTCACGTACAAGCCCAAAGCAAGTATTGAACCGCCCTTGCCATGTTTGCAGAGGTAGGACAGAACTGAGAAACAGCACGACAACTCCACCCAGAAAGAAACGGGACTCGCTCAATGGAACCTTGCCACGCTGAATAGACCTGACTGTACTTTATAACTGACACTTGAAATGTGGCCACCAAAGGGACTATTTGTTTTGGGACAGCATTTATTGCCTGAGAAAACACTTCACATTTCTAAGGGACGGTTGACATGACAACTGATTGTAGCACTGCGCAAACGAAGACTTGGGATACGTGTACAGCGCGTCACCTGTGTCAGAAGTGATACGGTTGAGCAAGATATCTACTCGTAGATTTTGCATGACGCCATTAAAGACAGCCCGACTCCTGAACCAAGAAAAAAGGTTTGTTTTCCCTTTTTGTTTACCTGATTTATTTCTTCGATAGGTTCATTACATCGACCCACGCTGATATTTACATTGTACTATAGCAGATCACGTTTTTCCAATCTAATGTCGGTTTATTTACCCATTGCTTAACCAGGCAATTTACTAAGCACTCAAGTAACTTTCTTAGTTAATGGATTTTGTAAGAAGGTTGAGATTATCACCAATCATCAACTAGTAAATACAGTAGATATACATTGATATGTATCGTTTGTTCCCTCTAGTGTGGTATCCTACGTATACAACAAAACACTCAGTGTAAATGTTTATGAAATCTTACTGACTCACCAGTTCAGCGGTGTTGTTCAGGTAAATACATTGTTGATTTGGGTATTAGACGACATTTGTAAACCATCTACGTTATCTTGGATGGGTTTTAACGAATTCATATCTTCTCCGACCTGACAGTGACGAATTCGTAGAGTATCACTCAACGTTCTACCATCAGATTGTTGGTAATTCCCTGTCCTAGATACTATGACCACGATACAATAATCCCCAATAATCTGCTTTGAGTCAAGGAGAGTTGAGAATAAGTACTAATAGCTTCCAAAAATGCCGTGATACAGATAACGATGTTTTGAAAGCAATGATATCTAACTGTGTTTGTGACGATGATGAAAAGATAACGTAACAGGTGGTCAAATATCACACTAGTTTGACTGTGCCAGTGGTGGTTACAACTGTATCATAGAACGGTAACTTGATACATCACTCCTATATACTAGGTCACTTTCTTTTGACTAATGTTTAAACTTTGCTTGTGAGTGAGTTTTTTCTGGTCTTATCTCAGATCAAAATGCATCTGATTTGGTACAAGTAAATTGTAAAACCCAGAAAATCTTCCAATGTGATTTCTATTCAGTATTAACGATGCGGTCGTAGTATCTGATACTTAGTCTAGAATCACTGCAGTACGTGTAGTAATACCAAATATATAGGGCTGAATGTCGTCTCTTAACAAAATTACAACCTAAACCAAGTAGTGAGAGACTAGGCGCGGAGTTACACACAGTAATTTGTGTGGGGATCTTGTTCACACACGGTGATTCTGTCAGAGTACACCGGTACAAGAACCGTTCCCACAGCAATTTTCCACAGGATTAAGCTTAACACGTAACAACTCAACGGGACAAAAGTTGAGCATGTTTTGTCTAAAACTGGGTCTAGAAATGGGTAAATGTGGTGCTTTTTTCAGAACGACGTATATCTTTCACTGTTATCTAGCGTCTTGACAATTAATGCCATCGACTTTTCATTCTAGTGTTATTTTTTGTACGGCTAAATCAATTTAAGTTGCTGTACACCCACTCATAATGGACTAATGTGTGCTGTTTCTAACTGTATAATTGATTTGTCAAAACAATGATGTGCTGTTGCGTTTACCAGCTCTCAAATCTCATTCGTGGAATGAGTGGCATATTTAGACAAGTTTCTTCATCGGCATTCAGCGATCCCTGCAGCAGAGAGAGGAGACTGGCTGGTGTTTGGCTTCATGTTTGCGGAACTGGCCCCGACACTTGACCTCCAAACATCTCAAAAGGTCACGAAAATTCACGACGAAGGACTTGCTTCCAAGACGCCATCCGTCTGCAGTGTCTTAACTTTGCATTCTGTCTTATTTCTCTTCCTTGCATTGTTTGTGAACCCAGGTAGCTGTGCGCGCCTCCTAGGACCGTTACAGGAGAAGTCAGGAATATAAAGCTCTGAGGGTTCACGTCTGGTCAACCGTTTCTGGTAAGAACTTTGAGAAAATCGCCTCAACTGCACAGCTTAAAGGCACTCTGTTTACAATGTTTAGCCTTCTGTTGACATTTGAGAAGGGTACTTTGTCGGTAAGACCTCAGTAATACGGATTTGTCAATGACTTTTCGGTCCTTTTCAAACTTATTAGACTACGCAACGCCACGACCCCTTGACGGATACAAACGTTTTCGTCCAAACAGCGGCACGAGTTTAGGACTAGAGCCGCCATGGACGGAATCTCGGAACTTCCCTGTCCTCACAAGCGGCGGTTGGTACGGATCCGGCGACCGAACACGCAGGACATGGAGGACCTGATGGTCCAACAGACGGGGCAGGTCTACCTCACCACGCCATACCGCCAACCGCCTGAAAACGACTTCTGCTCAAAGGTATGTAAGGTGCAGAGTAACCTTGAACTACATGTTTTATTACTTTTTATCGGTTAACGGAGAACCAATTAGCCTCTTTATCGACGGAGCAAACATAAATGCGTCATGATTAATCACCGCTTTCTCTTGGAGAGTCGACTATTTAGCAATCATAAAGTGTTTACGAATTATCCTGCTTTCTTACGAAATTAATGGTAGAGCATTTTGTACACATATGGTGGACGCATGACTCTTGATCAATGCAACAGTGTTGTGTGGAAATATGTATGAAAGATTGAGAGATGAAGTAGTAACTTTGAGATTCGAGCACACTTTATTGGGTTGCAGGTTGTGTCCGACAGCCTACAATGCTTTTTCCCATGCAAAAAGGTTGTATGTAACTAACGAAAATGTATGATGGAATTTCTCTGGCTTTGTTGTGTTCTTGAAAACAAAAACTTCCCACACGTCTTACACAGAGTCCTATTTTATGTTTAGACTTTAGTTCACGTTTCCCAAAACACGGGTTATGCCAACGGAAACGTACGTGTTAACGAGTAGATACAACTGAGAAATCCACTCTAAGACTTAAGCTACAGTCTCCCTTGCCAGGAATGTTTGTTAAAAACACGAGCTCCGTGAAAAATGTTCACCTTGGAGACAAAACTCCACAACAAATCCTTTCTGCGCGGTACTTTGCGGGAGGGCATTCAGGGGGATGTAATTTTAGAATATTTACAGAAACAAAAACACCAAAACACGTGTTTTACATTCAGGTGTTGTCGGAAAGAAACGGGAGTTCGTGAAAGCGGTGCGCATTACGAGGATTGGTTGATACAGTTCGCGGGATGTGTTGATGCTTACAGTGTCGCTGAATAGGCTGCTATGTTCTGATGGTGCGTTAAAGTAACTCTATAACGCACTTGGTTGTTTGATGACGCCATCTCTCAAGGTTGACCACAACATGAAACATTGAATGTCATTTATAAACGTCACCAAAAACTAGTTTGCCAGTTGTCCTATAATGCATACGTCATGTAAAACTAAGAATATATTTCTCGTAATGTGTTGTTTGTCAAATCTACTGGACGTGATAATGAAACTAAAAGTTCACATTTTCTCGAAATCTCTAAGAGTGAATGACATCAAAGGAAACAAATATACTCTGACAACACAATCCTTTAATTCCTCTGATTCTAAAATACAGCAATTGTATTCCTTGTTATGATTCCGTAAAATAACAGATTCAGTCGTCATCCAGGGATACCTGAAAAACATGTCTACTTTAATCTAAGTGTATTTTACCCTGGATAAAACAAATACCGGTAAATGAAGATTCACTATTAGAAGACTGAATGCTAATGTTAACGTGCTGACAAAAATGTCACCCCCGTCCCGGCCAGGTGGACTGCCTGTACTGCCACCGGCTCCGCATGCAGAAGCTGCTGAAGCCCTCCCCCTGGCCCAGGGGAGACCACCTCACCCCCAGACACACCCACTACCACGCCCCCGTCCTGCCCATCATCAAACAGGGCCGCTGTCTTATCAAGGTGAGCAGGCACTGCGTTACTAGGCTGCTGCTAGGCAGTTTAGATACTACGTTGGAGCCGTAAAGACGATTGAACTGGCAGCCACTACAAGGCTACAGAATTTTAAAAAGCTGGAAAGAGTAGAAATCGGCCAAATAGACAGATAACATGCCAGGGGAGAAGAGCTCTACTCCTTTACCGGCCCAACTCCCCTGGCATGTTAACTGTCTATTTGGCCGATTTCTATTCTTTCCAGTCGCTCCTGCAGCCTGGTAGAGGTTAATGAATTGTATGTAAATGACACAATGGTGTACATGCTAACAGAGAGGATGTTGTACAGTTGGTTAAAGTTAAAAAACGATGTTGTAGAAAAGACACTCTACAGAATCTACGCACAAACGTGTTGTTATATGTCCCCTCATTTCCTTCTTGTTTTTCCCACATCCAGAGAAGAAGCCTGAAGACACCACGAAGTCGTCGCAAAGCCACAGTGATCCACCTTCCTCCCCTCACGGGAGAGACCATGACCGTCCATCGGGCAAAGGTAACGTTTTCTTGTGTTATATGTATGTTGTCAAATAGGAACGATAAGATTAGCTCTAATCGGTAAATTGCCTACTGTCAACAGTTTTTAGATATGTAAGAAGTACGTAATTCAGCCCATGACTGCGATGTACTTTTCATGTCCGATTTAAAGGATCAAATAAACCATTCGTTCGTTCGCTCGTTCGTTCGTTCGTTCGTTCATCCATCCATCCATCCATCCATCCATCCATCCATCCATCCATCCATCCATCCATTCATTTATTCTTTCTTTCTTTCAAGGGCGGGGGGCTGCCCTGGTGGGCCACCAAGACGCCGCTAGGGGGCATCTCCTGGGTGAACGCCGATGTCACCGAGCCTTCCACCGCGACCGACGGGATCAAACTGAGCGCTGTGGCCAACGGCGAGGTCCTACACCTGGAGGAAATACGACTGGAAGAGACAAAAGGCGACGAGGGAACGGAAAGAGGGGATGGAAACGAAGAAGGGGAGGACAAACTTGAAGCATTAAAGGAACATGTTTTACCAGATATTTCTGACGAGTCCTCCGTCCGTTCCGTTGACACGGTGGTGTCCAAGGACACAGGGATCGGGACTGCCACGGCTTTCTCGGAGGAGGTTACGCTGCCTTCTCTGTCTAACATTAAAGTGTTTCGTCTTAAAGAACACGATGACACAGATGAGACAAGCACTACTGATGAGACTGCTAGTTTTAATGCCGAGGAAAGGGACGGAATGGAAGATGACAACCGTGGGAATGACTCTGAAATCACAGATGTCGCCAAAGCAGGACAAACAGTCGTTGCAGTTGATGAGACAAGATTGGATGAGGACAAATCGTCCAAACAGCATCCACTGCCGCCACACGAGATGGACGGAGAACTTATCTGTACAAAGGAAGGGTGTTCCTGTCCGTACAACAAAGACTCGCCACAGAAACAATCCCCTGAAACTTCCTCGTTAACTGATCTACGTTTAGCACACCAGAATGCAGATGACAGCACGCCAAATGAGTCGGCAGCATCTCGACCAAACGGTGATGACTTTGACGGGAAAAAGAACGAACTTGACACGGAGGAGAGTGACCTTGACAGAGAGGGGTGTTCGAATTCTGACGAGGAACGGGAGGCCGAAGACGACGTAAGTGTCATTATTTTCATAACTTGATATGTAAGGTGTAAGGTTCGTATTAACATAGTAACGCGAATAACATAAGTCAAATGCATTACGGAAAAGACTCGCCAGTAGTGTGTTGGTGTGGAGCAAAGAATTATAACGTTAATATAATTGGGCTTTGTAACTAACTGATCAGCTATTTTAACACAATAAGAATTGAAAAGGTTTGATCTTCAATATAATGTTATCTAATATACACTAAGCGAGGGTCAATAATAGCTTAATAGTGAATAATGGCATAGGCGTTATTTTGAGCTACAGGCTTTGTGCGTTAACAGTATTAGAAGAGCACTTCAGTATGTACTGAGTACGTACTGAGAGTTTTCTGATCTGAGCTCGAAAGGGGTGTAAGTTTCAGCTTATACTAGGTTACCTATTTGTGTAGAAACACAAACCGTCTCCGGCTATGATCATGAGTTGCATGAGAGCAAAACGAAATCTATCCTTTAATCTTATTGTATAATGTTATATGAGTGATAGGAAGGTGTTTCAGTATTGTATTTTGGTCATATGCTACAGCATGTACCACTAGGCTTTGTAGTTTGAAACAGGTGGATTTTTAAGGTCTTTCTGTGTGATATGACTTCGTCTGCCTGTGAAGCTAGGTCTAATCATGGAGGTAGAATTGGAGAGTGCGATTTTTGTCATGGGATTTGCAGTGCACGTGAGATTATAGATGACAGAGCCCTCGACAAGGATATGCATCAGCCTTTTCTGTCACAACAGAAATTGCATTGTTGCCGCCTCGGCCTGTCGTATGTGACGTCCGATCCCGTTATACCTGTGAAAAGAAAGAGTCATGTGTTCAGTTTTGTACTTCTAATATCCACAGACAAACGCCCTGAGCGACAGGAAACATTAGTCCAACCCAAAAATGTGATACTGTTCAAACACGTCCTGACGCCGCTCCGACAGGCGTCCACAGACCACCGGCGCATGGTTCCGGTGTGTTAGGTCGTGTTGTGTCAGCGTCCAAAGTCAGATAAAGTTAGCCTCCACCAGGCCTTTTTACAGGAATACGGATCGTAGAATTCGGCAAAAAAGAGAGTACTAGTCTAGTAAAACTTGGCCAAGGGGTCCGGCCGCGGGGAGGTAGTTTCTTTCCCTCCGAACTGCGCGGCAGTCAAGCCTACAAGGTGACCAAACTCCCCTGGCAAATATTCTCCTACATATAGTCAGCGTAGTTAGTCTGGTAGAGACTAGGTCTTTGTTGTGTCAGCGTCCAAAGTCAGATAAGTCGACCGAGGGAATTTTTATCCCTCTTAGTGAGTAATTTATACTTAGGAGGTTGCGTTTGTCCTAGCGCTATCGCTAGCAATTCAACAAAAAGGGGGTGTACGGAAAGGATCCGGATGTATGGATGAAATATCAACAAAAGAGGGTACGGAAATAATGTATGGATGAAATACTAGTAACGTTGTCAACCAAAAGGGGTACGGAAAGGATGTATGGATGAAATATCACAAAAAAAGGGGGTACGGAAAGGATGTATGGATGAAATATCAACAAAAAGGGTTACGCAAAGGATATATGGGTGAAATATAACCAACAGCGATTTTGAAATTAAAGATCAAGCGATAGGTTTTAAAATCTTTTGTAGGTTGTCACGTTTTCGAACCCGGTTGTTTTGGTAACACGTCAGACTACGACGATAGCCTAGGTCACAGACTTTATTTCAAACACATTTGTGTGCCTCTTAGCAACTGCGGTGGAACGCCGCCTCTCACAAAAGTTGCCAAAACGAGCAGTGACGCGCGAAATACCTTTGGAGTTGTCAAAACTTTGGAAAGTAGCACGCGTCAACATGTGTTCTTTGCCTTATTTTGCCAACAGAAGTTGTACAAAACATGCGTGGGAAAACTCAACTTTTTTTTCAAAATATAACAGTAACTTTACAAGAAGATTTCGTTCAAATGATCCACCCGAACGATGTGTTGACTGAGGATTAGACAAGTACCAGTCTTTAAGGCGAAAAAACAACACAAGCGCACAAAAGACACGAGTGAAAACGACAAGCATCGCACGTCATTCAGCTAGGTGAGGCAACAGGTGGGCGGCTTGGTGGCGTCTGGTAACTAGGCAACAAACACTTGTCCAAATATGGAGACGTGCGTTCTTGGACGACACCATTTTCCTCACAGGATAGTTTGAAATTCACAAATTTTATACAGTGATTGTGACATTTTTGTCTGTTTTCTTTTCTTCGACAGTTACAGACTAAGTCTTAGTCATATCTTAAATATATTTTTTGACAATAATTGTTTGTATGCATAAGATAATACGGTTAAAATAACCTGTTGCTCCTATGGGTGATATTGGAATAGTCTTCCTTCCTTGGGTCACATTTGGGGTCACCTCCGAATGAGAAGTGTTACTGTTGTCAAAAGAACCGGCACTGACTCAGGATTTCTATATAAAGGAGCGCCCAAGTCTTACCAAGTGTGGGATTATCGTCCCTAAGGTGCTGCCGTCTGTCGTCGCATGTCTCCAGAGAAGCGAGCAGCCGTGAAGCCTGAAGTGACCCCGAAAGGAGTTTTGAAACTGTCTTGCTCGCCCGAGCGGAAAATCGCATATGGAGTGCCTCTGAAAAGGCTCTTTTGGCCCGAGGAATTGGGAGTGAATTAATCTGAATTGCCCAGAAGATTTATAGTTACTGCTGTGCCCCCAGAGCCACATTCTCCAAGGTTTGGACTCAGCAAGACGGACACATACAGCGTACAGGAGGGAAGAAACTCGACCGTAAGTTCTTCAGAGTTGTCACGATCAAGAACTTTCAAGATGGCGGTACTTAGTACTCGGACTCAAGGCTACTGAAGAGGCTTCAAGATGTTGACGTTTTCCTTAGATTTTCGTATCGTAGTTTTCTGAAATTCAGCTCCACCGTACTTCTTAAGTTTTGCTGCAAACATGCCGACACTTTTGGATTCCGTGAGATATGGTGACTACAGAACATTCATAGCATTTTAGAAGCCTGAATATCTGTGTCTACAGATCTACAGATTTAAAACACAGCTGCTATAACTATGTTGGACCCTGCCTTGCCGTGGGTGGCCCACGGCTACAAGAAACTCAAGGATGATTTCAGCCAGAAGTTCCTGTCGGATGTGGACTATACCAAACATAGTACAGACACATCATCGGAGAACAGACTTCGCATCTCCACTCCGAAAAAGGAGCAGCAAGAAAGAGTGAAGAGTGCGACTGTCAGGAGAGTACAGGATGGGAGAACTGGAAGTGCTCGCTCAAGAGACAGTGGTGGCGACACGTACCTATTTTTACGAGAATCTCGCCCCAGAAGTGCTTATTCAACGTACAGCGTAAAGTCATTCATGTCTGGCCCACCTCAGGTGAAAAACAAGCGAGCTCGCAGCGCGACAGTTCGACGAAAAGCTGCGGACTTACAGAAAAGTTTCACACAAATAGAGAGAAGTTATGAAGAAGAGCGATTGAACAAGAACTTTCGCAAACTGGCAAGGCCGAGGACTGCTCAGGGATTGGTTCGCGGAAGGCCGAATGTGACCTGGAGCGGGGACTGGCGGCCGACGTCTTCCACGGGACTGATTCCTACGACACCGTTCGACAGATACGTCAGTTACGAGAGACCCCGCTCTGCCAGAAGGGTATGAGGTTTTGGTTTGTTTTCGACTTCGTGTTGAATATTACTGGTAAATTGATGGAAATCACTACTCTTAACTAAAATGTTGAGATCATATCGAAATAAGGCCAAGGCTAGAAAAAAAGCTAAATGGTTTCTTTTTTAAGACAAAAAAATGACGCCTGGTATATGGACAGCTTGTAGTTGTGACATTGCAGTATTCGGTACAAAGTAGCTGCTGAAACAAGACACTTATAAGTTTTAAATGTGCTTTAAAGTTCCATAGATATGCCATAACAATTGTGTAAGGGAAGTTGTATCAGAGTCAAAATTGAACGGCTTTTGGTCGTGGTCCACACGTTTTAGGGTGTCACATTCAGACCTGTCTTGTATTATTATCGCTGGTGCGGTAACCAGGTGTACTCTTTGTTTTTGTTTTGCCATACCTGTTCATCCAGTCGAATCTCCTGTCTTTCACCCAGCGGCCTATCCTGTACTTAAGTGAACCATTAGTGTCAGCAATGCCGTGAAACTCTGAAAAGAAGCTGAAAGTTGTTTCAGGGAGGCTGAGTCTCAAAGAGCAGTTTTGAAAGGGGAGAAGACTATTGTGACGAACCACATTGTTGGCTTACATTGTGTCTCTTAGCGAGTCTTTCAATACAAGTGCATTGTTTAGTCCTGACCCTTAGCAGAAGAAATTCCCTCCTTTCTTTAAGAATAACGGGTGTTAGAGAAATTTGGAGTGGATCAGGTTAAGGCTAATCACCTTAAAGCAGGGCGTTAGGGACAGTTGTATTCAAAGGCAATGGTTTAAGTGTTTTGAGTGAGCCAAATGTTGGGCATGAGAACCCACTGCATATCTCAAAAGGGACAGTCTATACATTTTCTGCAACAGTGATTTAAGGCTAATTGTGAGCTGTCAGTCTCAGCATTCATTCTTTCAGCCAAGTCCTTCTGGTACTAAATTGCACTTAAGAATTATACGACACACAATATTTCATACCTGTCAATGCATGAAATACGTACTGTTTCAGACAAATGCTTACAGGAGTCTAAACTAGTAAAAGAGACATGGTTATTTGTCAATCTGATGGCCCCTTTATAAATTAGTAATGGTGTGTCATCCTTGATTATCAATCAGTCAGTATATATGACAGTGTGACAACTTTCATTTAGTGTCCAAGATTTTCAAGTCTGAACCATACACAGTGTTTTTAAGACTAGGTAGCCTTGGCCTTCTTCAGCTATACTACACTGCAGGTTTTGTCAATTGTGGCCATGCAGAGCATGGAATTTGGTATTTGCCGTTAGGTAGAGTAAACACAATATTTTACCCACATGACAAAGGTGCTTGTCATCGGGAGTTTCCCCCCTTTTTTCCTGATCACGTACACCAGCACCTGTTTTTTAAAATCTAGATTAAACCTTTAGATGGTGGGCCA